CTGTCTGTCACCCGGCGGGATTATGAGTAGTGAGCGTAATGCATCGGCGTATGAATAGGGTTGTCTGGCTGATGGTGATGTATCGTTTTTCATTACTGCCTCTCAAGCCCTCCCTGCTCCACGTGTGGAAATTCTATTTATTCCCTAATTTGTAAAAATTCCCTCCTTATCTGATACCAATCAGGGAGGGGTAATTGGCTCTCCAGGGCTAGCGGCTGGGGTCCTGATGAAGAGATATGTGTGTCTGCTCCGGCTGTCCAGGCACCCTGCCCTGCTGCACCAGCGACACGGGCCACAATTAATAATGATTTGCAAATGGCAGACAAGCAATAACGCAGAAAGATGTCCAGCCAGCCTCCTGCCCGCCCCTTAATTTCCTTCTGTAATATAAATGGCACGGGAACAAAAATCCAGCGCTATAAATTCTGGAATTAGTTATTCACCGTAATAAATGGGCGCCTTTTTGGAGCGCGGATCCCCGCCCCCCCCCCCCAAATCTTCCTCCTCTTCCTCCTCCCCCTCGCCAGCACCTACTTCATTTGAGTCCTAATATGCAAATGCCGTAATTTAACGGGATGGCGAAGTTGATTTTCATGTTAACTTAATTACTTTGATTTATGGCGGGCTGGGATGCAGACACCGCCGCATCATTACGGGTCTCCCACCTCTCCCCTCGGCGCTCCCGCTGACCCGCTCCCTCGTCCCCCTTCTTCCCACCCCATCCCTTTCCCCGCTCCTTCCCTCCTCTCTTCCCACAAGTTGGGTGTTTTATTAGCTGCCTTTAAGTGGACATAAGTCCTCACGACAATCGTGTGATGGGGAGGACAAATTCCCCGTCCTGCCTTGTTTAATCGTGCCTGGATAATGGATGTATAATTGACTCATTTGAATGCTTTTGCCTACAGGAGTGCAGAGCATTAAATGTTTGATTGCCTTAATTTCCAAACAGATCATTATCCCCTTCTTACCCGCTCTTAATAAACACTTTATGAGGATTTTTTTTGTAAAGGAAAAAAAATCTCCACTCCTCGTACTTCTCTGAAGTGATAAACTCTAATTAAGTCTAATATTTAAAAATATGGTAATGGCGACTTGTTTGAATAAGTGGCCTGCATTTCCATAATTTCATTATTACGTAAAACACGCTAATTATTTGAAGTGTGCTTATTACTAAAAGAGAAATCTCCTCCTAATAAAGATGAAATTGGCTTTTTCCCTGTATCGCTCAGCCCTCCCAGGGCTGCTCGCGTGGTTTGTCTGGGGCCGTTCATGGGGACGCGGGGCAAGTGGAGGTCCTTGGCCACGTCAGAACTGGGACGTCCCCATCCCCTGCACACCCCCTGTGCTGCCCTGGGGCACGGGAGGTGAGGGACCCGGCAGCTGTAGGGTGCCCGTGGTGTGGGTGGGATTTGGGACGGGGAAGGGCACCCCATCCCCCAGCACAGGGATGGCAACAGGTAGGGGATGGATGGAGCGAGGCACCAATTGTCTCCAAATCCTGAGTGGCTCTCCGGCGGGGCAGCCAGGAGAGGCAGTGGGATGAAGTCAATATAAAGCTAATTTCCTTTTCTTCGTGAAGAAATGAGGTGTGTGGCAGTAACGTAATTGCAGATAATGAGGTAAGTTATTCTTAATATTCTGCACGTCGCTGTCAGCTCCTCATAACACACCTGCCAGCAGCTGGGGCACGCCGACCCCACACCGTGCAGGGTGATGTGGCCCTAACCTGTCCTTGTCACCGCTGCGGCCATCTGTCCCTACATGTCCTGCCCTTACCCAGAGCTGGGCTGTGACGCTTGCCAAGGTCACCCTGCAGTGGGACCCGCATCCTGCTGATCCCAGAGCTGGGGGGTGTCTGGTCCCCTTACGGCCACGGGGACCGTGTGGCTGCCAGGTCACGGGGCCACTGGCCGTCACCAGGGGTCGGCAGCGGGGAGGCGGTGGTCGCGCGTCCCTGTTCCCACTTTGCAGGGAGCTGTTGTACAAAGGGAGCGGCGATATTATTCATTAACAGTAATCTGCCATTAGAACATTGACAAATGGCCCCCGGTCGCCTGAGCATCAGTTCTCGTACAGACCATAAAGCATGGGGACAGCTTAAATATGGACCTGCTCAGCTCGGGCCGGGGGGTGATCCGTCTTCCAGCCGCAGCACGGGCGCGCGGGGCTCGCTCCCGATGGGGACATGGAGATGGGCCACGGCGGCCCCTGTACCCTGCGGTGCCAAGCAGTTGCAATCCCAGCCAGGACGTGGGGACAGTGCAGAGCTGTCGGGATGAGCTTGGCCCCGGCCATCCCATGCCCACAGTGGGTGACGGCAAGACGTGACACGGCGCAGTGTGGGACAGCACGGCGCAGCCGCGCTCCGTTTGCCGGGTAACCCCGTGCTGACCCCTTCCTACATGGCGCGAAACACCCCTAAATCAATTGCATCTTATTATTACAATATCAATATACAATATTCCTACAATAACACCATTGATTTTCTACTCAGAGGCTGCACCTAAGTCTGTTTTAAAGAGGAGGGAGTTAATAGTGCCCTCATTAAAAATCTATAGATTACCCCCCGCCCCCCAAAAAGAAAAAGCAGTTTATATTCATTAGAGCTATTGAATATAAAGTAATATGTTTGTGTAGGACATTGGAGTAATGTGATAATCCGTCCGCATATCAGGGAGAAATCCACTTAGCAACCCTGTCAGCTTGACAAGAAAAATGTGCCCATAAAGTCGGGAATACATGGAGGGAGCCGGGGCGCAGGAGGCTGCGCAGAGCAAGGGACAGTGGTGCAGGGCTGCCTTCCCCAGTGCTGGGCATGGGGACACGTGGGCACCCCAGTGCTGTGGGGGTGGCAGTGGGTGTGGGGATGTGGGTGGGTGCCGCAGGGCTGCGGACGGGGCAGTGGGAATGGGGAGCAGGCTCTGGGGCCCGTGTGTTGTCACTCCAACGGGACACAGGGTGAGCGGTGCCGTGCGGGCACTGCAGGGGCTCTGGGTCCTGCTGTGGCTGTGTGCCCCCCGGGGGGCAGCTGGACAACGGGGCTGCCCCTGTCCCCAGCCCCACCGCTGCCCCTTTGCCCATCCCTGGCCCTGCCCCCAGCCCCGTGGCCTGCAATGGATTAAGCACTGAAAGAGCAGCAAAGCAATCCCGTCCGTGCTCTTTTAGGTTGTCGATTGCCATTTTTGTAATAGAAATTCCTTCCACAAGGTAACGACGGCCAGATTTAGAGGATTTCATATTGCTAATAATTCCCCAAACAGCCATCTGACTGTGTTGTTTTAAAAGCCGCTTAGTTTTTTGCTTTGGAGTTTATGAAAATCTCCCACTCTAATATCCCGAGAGCCAGCCTATAATTGTGTTATTAAATCAATCGGAGCGGATTACATTGTAAAATCAATAGATGGCTGTAATTGCATATTAGAAAGTTGTTCTGCTGTTGTTGATTTTTTTTGTACATGGATAATTATAATAAGCGTGTTTACCTTCGCACTGATTTGGATTGAGGCTCCCAAAATGACTCATGGTGTTGGTGGCTGTGCCTCTGGGGCTGCCACCCCGCAGGGTGCCCGGAGGGGGAGGGAGCCGCCGTGTCCCCGTGCTGTCCCACTGGGCATGGGTGGAGGGACTGGGGACACGGGGACACGGAGAAGGGGATGCTGTGAGCAAACCTTGTCCCTGAGCTGTGGGATGGTGAGATCTCCCAAGCAGTGCCCTGCGTCTCCGCGATGCCCGGTGGCTGTGACAGGGACACGTGCAGCTAACGGGGACGCCGCATCTTCCACCCATGGGCTGGAATGCCGGTATCAGGAGCATCCTCAGCAGCTCCGGGGCCGTGGGACAGAGGTGCCCCCAGCCTGTGGCCATGCCAGGTGACAGCGCTCCTGCCACCAGCACAGCAGGGTGGCACAGTCCGGCTGACAGCACCTGGCAGCGGCACGGCACGGCCACGCGGGGTCTCAATGCGGCACGAGGCACTGTCAGCAGGCAGCCTGCTGTCTCCTAGACAGTGAAATATGGCCACAATTAGCCCGGATACAGTTCAATTATGATAAACAGCGTTTGCACCCTTTAAGCCGTGATTAAAAGGCCTCCTCCCGTTGATAGAGAGACCTAATTTCACATTATTATCGCTGTAGCTTGATTATAAAGCACTCCCTGGATTTACAGTTGGGAGATGGATGTGGAGGCTTCTTTATCATTTACACATCAGTAATGATGCAGCCTTCCCTCCGCCACAACATCCATCCGGCACCGGCGGCGAGAGGGGGGCTCAGCCCGCGCCCCCTCCCCGGGCACTGCTCCCCACGCCGGCCGGGCCCCGCTGCCACACGCAAGTGGGCAAAGTCACCCTTACGGTAACAGCTTGATAAATGGGCGCGCGGTAATGAAATGGAGACATCAAGGCGTGGGGCGAGGAAGAAAGAGTGGTAATCGGAACGAGTGGAGCTGTCCCGAAACGGAGGGGAGCGGGAAGAAGGATCGCCTCTGTGCCGTGTGCTGTCAAGGGAGAAATTACACATTTACTCTTGCTTTTTCTTAAGGAGACGGCCCTCATAGATCAAAACATGGATTTACAAGCCAATTTTCAACATGAAATATAGACACCAGGAATCAATTTAAGCCCGGCTTCTATTTTAGCAAACGGTGCCTGCGTTTAGTCCCAGGTAAATAACAGCAGCACCTGCCCCCTCCCCACGCTCCGGCCGTCTGTCGGCACCGCGGCTGCGTGGCACCGGGGCAGCCTGAGGCCATGATGGGGACAGCTCTGAGCGGGGCAGCCTGAGGCCACGATGGGGACAGCTGTGAGCGGGGCAGCCTGAGGCCACGATGTGGACAGCTCTGAGCGGGGCAGCCCCGTCCCTGGTGCGGCCACGGGGCAGTGCGGGCGCTGGGCTCGCAGGGAGACGGCTGGGGAGCTGGAGCCCGGCTGGGGACGCAGCCCAGGAGACGTCACTGTGCCAGACCCTCTCTAACCCAGTGCCTCTGTGCTCTCTCCGCAGATGACTGTAAGAACATCGCCAACATCATGAAGACACTGGCCCATAGAGGCTTCATCTTCAAGCAGACCTCCAAACCCTTTTGATCCCCAGGGCAGGCCAGGCAGGGCTGCATGCGCCCGGCGCCGGCGAGGCGGGGAGGACGGGCTCTAGCATTCAAACGGCAACCGAGGCCAGAGGAACCGACACAAATCTCAATTCAGCTGTTACTCCAGTAGAGGTTGTATATATGGGAAGGCAAATCTGTGTAGACCTGATGTGACTCCCTCTCTGGGCTGCTCCGGACATTATGCCATGCTAGCGGACAGCCGCGTAGGGCGCTTGCACCACATTTTAGACTCGTAGTTTGTTCTTTTCTTTGGCTCCCGATTTCCGTCCCTCCCTCCGCGCCCCACCCCGTCCTCCTCCCTCTCCCGCCCCGTAGCCACCACGTCCCCCGGCATGGGCCGTCCCCGCCTTCCCTTCTTTCTTTTCGCTGGTTTTATGTTTTCAGGCCTTGACGGCTGCTGCAGCGCGTGCCCACGCCGCGCTCCTAGAGACTCAGCAGTGTCAAGACGGCCCCCGCCCTCCCCGCCAGCCCCAGCCTCTCCCCGAGCGCCTTTCTCCCCTCTTTTTGAATCGACACTAACCCCTCTCTGACTCCTGTATGTGACAAACGCAATCCGTCTCTTTATGTTCAAGGTGAAGTGCCTGTATTCTCCGCTGCAGAGCCCCTGGCAGCCCTGGTGCGGGCTGCGGGGCCCCGGAGGGCTCCCTTCAGTGGGGCAGGGGCCCGGCGGGCGGGTAGGCGGGCAGCAGGGGGGAGGTGACAGCGTGCAGAGCCCCCGTCCCGTCCGCTCGTGCCTCTCGGGGATGGGTGGGATGCCCAGCCCTGCCCCAGCACCACCGACCCGTCCCAGCTCCGCCGGGGCCAGGTGTGCCGCAGCACCGCGTCCATTGCCGGCGGTGGACGTGCCAGCGCGCGCTGGCCCCGACCCACAGGTACCTGGAGCAGGGGATCTGTAAATCGGCCCAGGTCCCCCGGCCCGCTCCCCTCCTGCTCCCCCGGTTCCCATGCTGAGGCTCAGCCCCCGCGTGCCCGCGGTCCCTGCACTCCCCGTGCCCCTCGCGGGTCCCCGCGGATGCTCAGCAGCAGCTGGCTTGTTGCCTGAGAGTTGCCGAGCGCGTCCCCTCTGGCTGGGTGGGTTCGCAGTTGGGGGCAGCCACGGGGCAGGCTGAGGGCGTGCAACCGCAGTGTCACCCAGTGTCACCCAGCCCCGGGGCCCTGCTGAATGGAGCCCTCATCCGGGTGCTGACCTGCAGGGAGGCTGCAGCCCCGGGCCCGTGCGTGCATGGCCTGGAGCGAAGCCGGTGACGGCAGCCAGAAGGGCAATACAGGCACTGAACTTGGCGGTACATGACTGCATGGTGTGTGGTGTTCCAGTTAAACCAACCGATAATGCAAACCCAGCATTTTCATTGTCTAGTTATTCCAATCCTTGCTGTAAATGTGCCACATGAATAAAGTTTGGGGGTAAAGGAGCCCAGGCTGTGCCCATGCATGTGTGAGTGCAATGCGGGATGGAGTGGGCTGGGACGGGGTGTGCTGGATGAGACAGGGCAGCAGGACGGCCGCTGCCCTCCCTGGGGGTACGGCACCCAGCTCACCCTTTATGGGTGCCATGTGCAAAAGCGGGCTTTGGGGCTGCGGATGGGAGCGCTGCCCCATCACAATCTCCAGCACAACCACCACGAGGTGTCCGTCCCTTTCTCCCACCACCTCGGATGCTTGAGGGCCTGGACAAGCTGTCCACGTGCTGTGTGCCCCCCTGCACGGATCAGCCCCAAGGATGCCACCATCCCATCCCAGCTGAGCTGCGTCCCAGCAATGCCCAGAGCAGGGTGATGCCGTCACCAAGCTACCACCAGCATCTGTCACCTCCCCTGCCCTGCAGCCTCGGCATGCATCAACTTCAGCCCCGGGCATCAATCAGGGCCATTGTGAGCCACACTGCACTGAGCCACCAGCTGTGCAGCACCGTGATGCAGAGTCACACTGCTGGCAGGGCACCTGGCAGCCCTGGGGACAGCACTGCAGCCTGGTCCCTGCTGGGACCTGCCAAGCAGCTGGAAGGAAGCAGGCAGCTCCAGGAGGGAAGGGGCAGCCCCAACCCAAGCAAAGGTCACGGGGGCTTTAATGGCTCCCTCTGTGCAGCCCCCAATCAGCTTTATTGAGCTATTTTCGATGGAGTCGTCTAATTAGTTTTCTATGAAAACTAAGAACTTGGCCTTTGCCCTTTACTCCTGCAGGCGAGAATGTGACTCAGAGGACGTTGTCACGGCGGATCGATGGCCAGTTACACTTGAAAGGCAGCACAGAGGGGTCGAGAGGGTGGGCAGCCTGCTCTGCACAGGGGGAGCACACGGCTGGGGCCACCTGCACCTGCAGTGCCTGAGCCCCGGCCACCACTACTGGTGATAGTAGAGATGCTGCAGCACACCCAGGATGCTGTAAAACATGGGGTGACCAAGGCAGCTGGCTTCACAGCCAGCATCACTTAGAGCAGGGAGAGTTTTAGGGCTGAATCCAGGTACACAAGGCAAGATGGAGCCATCTGCACCACACCGGGATGGGATCCCCGCTGAACCACCCCCTCTGTACTGCAGGCAGAGGCCGGCCCTGCCACCAAGCACCCCGGGACGGGCCAGGCAGCCCTGCTCTCCTCCTGCAGGTCCCCGTGCTCTGAGCAGCACGAGGTGGGAGGCCCTGCGGCCCCACTGCATGCCAGGCAGACGGCAAACAGAGGGTGGAATTTGCACGGCTACAAGTTAAATACAGCACACACACAGGGTTGGTCAGAGCCCCTGGCACGGCTGCCTTCACGGGATCCACTTAACGGGGAAATAAAAGGGCCTGAGAACCCATGCAGCAGTGTGAACAGATGCCCTATAAAAATCAAATACGTGGTAATCAAGGGGACCAAAAGGTACATTTAAAAACAAAAACCCACCCTGGAAACAAAGGAGCCGGGCTTTGTGGCTTTCCTGGGAGGGCTGCGGAATTAATGGGGAAGAGCACATGTGTTTGATAATCTTTATATGGCAAAAGACCCATCTTTCAAATATGTCACAAATTCATATTAATCACCTTCCTATTGCCTTCTGCGGCGCAGCTATTCCAGTCGCCTTGGGCAAAATTGGGAACTGTCTGGTTAAAAAAAATGTTTTACATTATAATTTACAAGAGCCTACAAGTCTAGTTTCTTTTAATGGAAAGAGCGATTAAACAACAACAAAAAAAAGAGTGGAATATATATACACCCTGGTATATATACACTATATATATATATATTAAAATATATATATATATATATATAAAAGACAGATATTGTAACTCCATCTGGAAAGAGAGAATGTTTGATCTTAACAATGTAACTTCTAGCTTTCAAACAGGCTCAGAAAACAAGAAGTCAGCAGGAGTTCAGATAAAGGAAGCTTAAAAGTCAAATAATTCTGACTCTGAACCCGAGACTTCTTAGACTCAAGGTCTTTTCCTTTACCCATTAATGGGCTGACTTGTGAGCTCGGGAACAAAGTGCTGCAATGTGAGGATTTCTGAGAGTCACTCATTACAGATCACTGAGTGGAGTCTGAGTTGCGGAAATCAAAGGATCCAATCTGGAGTAACTGGCTGAACTTCTGCTTGGAACTAATTTGTTCCGAGTTCGGCTCACCTTTCACCTCCCGAAGGCCCCGAGCGCAGTCCCTACCGGGGTCAGCACCAGGGGGATCCCGGCTCGGCTTTCATGGTCAGCGCCGGCACCGCGGCCCCTGGGAGGGGGGATGGCAGCCGCGGCAGGGACGAGGCGGCCATGGGCAGGCAGCACGGCGCAGGGCTTCCCGCCGGCCCCGGGGACGCCGCTCCTAAAGGGACACAGCGCCGACAGCAGTGCCGCGAGGAGGGACGGGGCAGCCGCTAACAGCCTGGATCTCGGGAGGCTGCTGCGCCCTCACCCAGCCCTGCCAACACCTGCAAAGGAATTGAGGCTTGTGGGGCACCATACGGGAGATGGGGCTCGCCGTCCTGTTCCTTGCTTTGCCACTCGCTCCCTCCAACATCTGGAGCGAGATACTTCTCCCTGGGGAACCAAAGCTGGCTTCAGGGGAGCAGCTGGCTCGGAACTGAACTAATCCATGCTTAATCCAACACACGGAGTGCCGCGGAGGGGCAGCACAAAGGGATTCTCTAACTCGGAGCAATCTGTAAGCAGGGAGATCACTCGACTCTCCCCGAGGCAGTTCAGTGGCAAAGCACAGGCTGGAGCTCAGAGCCAGCTTGGCACAGCCGGCTTAAACCCCTGCAGCAGCCCTGGCAAAGGGCAGGGCATCACCAACAAACACCCGGGGCCAGGGCTGCAGCAGGGAGGCAGCATCGTGCTGCTGAGCAGGCAGGCTGGGAATGCCACGACAAACACCTGCTCAACAAACAGCTGTCTGCTTGCACTGCTGGCATTGCTAGCTCAGCACTGCAGCGGGACACACCTGCTCACATCCTGCCAGCTCACAGCAGGTTCTGGGCCATGGGCTGCTGGTCCCCCACACTGCCTGAGCACCCAGAACTGCAGGGAAGGTAGAGGGAAGCACGGTGCCTGCATCTCTCTGACACCCCAAAGATACCTGAGCCACACAGAAGGCGGCACAGCGGTCCCGTTCCCCTCCTCATCCAGATACCCCTCCAGCTGGGAGGTAATTTCTTCCCCCCTCTAAAGGTAGCATAAAATGGTCACAGTGTGAATGTGCTTGACCTTTTGTCTTGGACTAATCTAATTGTGTCGTCTTTGTGTAATCAGCCGGTAAAGGTCAGTGCTGTATTTAACATGGAGGCCCTTTAGGTACTGAATTTGCCTTGCAGTGAATTAACTTGATTATATTTCTTTCAAATATGTCAGAGACGAGGTCAGTTTAACCCTCTCTGCGCTGCCCAGGCCCACCTCTTTGTTTCCATCTCCAAGAGGTGGGGCTGAGGAAGAACGTGGTCAGGAACACGTTTGGGCTCTCCCTCCTGCAGCCACGGCCGCTGCCACCACCGCCTTCCCATCAAGGGTTGTCGAGGGAAGGCAGCGTGATGCGAAGCAGCCCCAAGCGTTCACCAACCAGGATACTGTGGACCGCATCGAAGGGTGAGATTGAATGCAGTGAAAGAAAGATGCAAAAGACTTCTTTGCGAACATGAACCTGTCTCGGTGGAACGCTTCCTTATGACTCCATGTTGTCACAACTGAACAGGACATTACTCAAGTCCAGATTAATGCGTCACCTCTGCTGTTGACAGATAAGGTGTTCTGAATATCCTGCAATAATACATTATACATTTTAGAAAATAAAGGTCTGTGACGCTACCGGGGGCAGTATATCTGAGGCGTCAGGGATGCCACTGCGTGGAGACGGGCAGCTGTTTATCAGACAGTTCAGCTCAGCTGTTCCAGGGGAGCGCACAGAGGGGAAAGCAGCCTTGCCTGACCTCTAAGCACACCACTGCCTCAGGGCTGAGGGTGAGGGGCTGGGCAACTTGCCCTCGTAGAGTTAGGGAGGAGAGGGCTGCTGATGTACAACCTGCAGATGGACACGCACAGGGTGCTGTTGCAGGGCTCGTGGCGAAGCTTCAGTGGCTTCTAGAACTCCGAGGTCTGGCTTTTCTTCCCCAGCGCTGGAAGCAGAGTATGGAAACACTGCTCAGCTCTTCAAATACCTCTCTCCTTCCCAAGCCTTCTGCCCCAGGCAGGATACCACTCGACTCCAGGGACTTCGGCAGGTCATGGCTCATCATATCAAGACTGCTTTTCCCGCTTGCTTCCCTCTGCTGAGCAGCCCTTACGTGGCTTGGAGGAAAATGCCTCAGGCCTGCAGCTGTACTGGCATCACTGCCGCTGCCCTGGTGCAAGCTCTCGTCAGGCAAAGCTTCACTGCTTTGGTCCACGATGGCACCCACATCAAGCCATCTGCCTGTATGCAGGATGAAGAAAGACCTGCTGACCCCACCTATAGCACCAAGAACACTGTCCAGCACAGGAGACGAGCCCAGAGAGCACTGGGACTTGGGGGAAAAGGCGTGCTGTGCTCCCTTGGACGCGCACGCCTGGAGGGAGAGCAGGGCAGCATCCCAGTGCTCGTCACGGCATCTGCGTCGGAGACCTGAGTGCTCCCTGTTCTGCCCCCACAACCTTCCTTCTCACCGAGTTGGGGGTCAGTGGTGCTCCTACTACGTCAATGATCTGGTCCTTGGCATCTCCCTTGCCCTCCTCGATGCCGAGCCCTGTCTGGCCATCTGGATGGCTGCCTTCCACGCTGAGGGGGCCGATACTACCAGCTTTGGCCAGGGCCTCATAGCGATGCCGTAACATCTGAAGCTCGTATTCACAGTTGGCAAAGGCTTGCTTCAGCTCATACAGCAGTACCAGGTCGCTCCGCAGCTCGTTGAACATCTGCACAATCTCCTCCGTGGGCATGGGGTTGAGATCTAGGGAGAAAAAGGAGCCCTGTTAAACACCCAGAGCTACAACCCTGTGTCTGAAGATCCCTACAGAGGTCCAGTTCCAATGGCAGACCTCCACCGCCCTACAGCACACATCCTGCTGCAGCCAGTCACACACATGGCTCATCATATCAAGACTGCTAGGAACAGCTATGTGTTCTGGAAAAGGATGAGGCTCTGCATATTTGCCCTGTTGCAGCATGTGGCCTGCTGTTCAGCCACAGACCGCTCCCTGCTAGCACTGTGCTCACCCACATGAAGCCCAGGTGTTTTTCTGTACTCCAAGGCACAGCATGGCTGGAGCTCCAGAAAGCCCTTGAAATGCATATACTTTGTAAAGCGGGAGTGGGAGGGCAGAAACCCCATCCTTGCCCTCATGGAAAGTGAGCTCAAAGAGGCACTCAGATCCTTCCCCAAGGCTCAGCTGGCACTCAGCCTCAATCCTACCATTCTACTAAATGCTTATATACCACAATTAATCTCCTTCCATCTATCTCTCCTTTAATGTCATTCAGAAGATATACCTATTTTTTCCCTGGACTGCTCCTAAAAGGGAAAAAAAAGAAAACAAACAAACAAACCCAGTGACTTCTTCAGTTCTAAAGCAGAAAAGTGAAATCAGCCGGGTTGAGCTGCTTTTACCAGTTGCAGGAGGCTTTCAAAACCGCACACAGTCTCTGAGGCAACATATCAAGCCAGGGACCCATTGGCCCAAAAAAAACTAACAAAAGTTCAAAGAAGTCAGGGCTGGGGGCAGGTTCAGTAAGTAAGCTTTTGTAAATCACCGATAAGGATTTTTATTTTTCATTGCCCCCGACCCAGCGGGGGGAAAAGGAGCCATCAGGAATCCAACCAAAGGGCACTGTGTGCCGGGACCTGACGGCCCTGCAGGCCCTGTCCCTGCTGCATGGAGGGCAGCAGCTGCACTGCTTCCCCTCCAGCTACGTGCGGGCACCGTCCATGGCAAGTGAACCCTTCTTTCTGCTGCTAAGACACTAGAGTTCAAGAGTGAGGGCTGTGTGTTTACTCGCCTTTCAGCAGAGATGCTCCAGATTTTCACACAGCACGCCGCCTATAAAGGGGGGATGAAAAGTCCCAGACGCATTTTGGACTTGCCACCACGAGCAGTAAATTAAGAGGAAACGAAGCTTGAAAGCGAGACAGGGCAGCCCTGAACAATGTGTGTGCCATGGTCACTAACGCACTCAGAAGTACCTCTCCCTGCAAGGCTGAGATTTGCCTTCCTAATACTGTGCTGCCTCTCTTGATAGTTAAAAAGACCCAAACAAGAGAGAAACAAAGGGTCTTTTAAAACATTTTTCTACTGGGAGGAAAAAAAAAAAGAAAAAAAAAAGCCCTGTGCATCTTGTTCTGGCTTTTACCCTCTTTCTCTTTTTTTTTTTTTTTAAACACATAAAATATTTTAAAAACCATTCACATACTGTTATTCAAGAAACTGGCTGTATTACTAGGGGAAAAAATAGCCCATCTCAAGAACAAAGGCTAGCTCTGTGTGTCTCTTTCTCTCTCGCGTGCCCCCTTTACTCACCTACTCCGAGTTCCATCAGCATCTGCTCCAGGGCTTTAATCTTCTTCTGTCCCACCGAGCTCGGCAGTTTCATCTGGAACACAAAGGTAACAGAGCCACACAGCTCAGAGATAGCCCTCACTCACAGCCGTCTAGTTCAAAAGGCAACAGAGCTTTTCTTTTTATAGTGCAGGGGGAACAAAAAAAGAAAGGGAAAGAAAGGAAAATCAAGTGGTAAGAGAAGGAGACAGGGGCTGAAAGTTTTCAGACTAGGTCCGAGGGCAGGTATTGAAAAGCCCGGTCGCGAAGGCTTTTATTTTCTCTCTCGTGTGTGTGCAAGACACGCTGTTTTACAGTTTCCATGTGTCACTGAATTAACAACAAAAGTTCTTCTTGGCTTCAAACCCTCTCCCGCAGTGCCCAGCCCATCAAAGGGCTCATTTACACAGTGGCTAATGTGCAATGCTGCCCTACTTTATTCGCTTTAGCCGGCCTGATTAGACTCATACGCTAACAGACTCACTTCTCCTTTTACCTGCTGAGCCCCAGACCTGTGGGATTCATTTACAGAGCGGGCTTTATAACAAAGGGGAGAGACAGAGAGAGCACAGTTACTTGACTGGCGGAAGTGTGAACGCACATTTACATCGGAGCTAAGGGGCTAGGTGAGAGAGGCAGCATCAGATGTGAGCTATGAAAGGGAATTGGAGCTGGCCAGGAGAGGAAGAATGCATACACTTAGCAGGGTCCTTCCTCTGCATTCATTTGGGCTCTAGCAGGAGTGCGAGCTGCTCAGACCAAGCGTTTATTAGATGACAAGCTGCACAAACGCAGCTGGCACAATATGGCAGGGACAACAGGGCTCCAAGCCCTGCGATGCATCCGCTAACAATTGAAAGAACATTCTTTCCTCGACAATGCCCAAAGACAGAGCAGGAGAAAGGCGATTCACAGTGCCAAACACCGTACTGGCCATCCAGCTATGGCTGGGTATGTTCTACTGCCCTCCACAGCCCCAGCTTTTCCACCCACCCCTGCAGCCAAGGATTAGAGGGCACCCTGTCCCATTTTTATACCCTGAGAGTCCTGGGCTCAGTGTCTGGGCCAGCCTGGAGCACCGTGAAATGATCCTGAGAGCAAGAGACTTTGGTCCAGTGAACTGTTCTGCCCCATAAGGAACCACTCAAAACTTTCAAGACAAGCAGTGCAGCTCTGCTTGTGCCATCCCTGACGTCTAAGGCACAAGCCATTAACAGAAAGCCCAGCATCACAAGACCATCAAAGAGATCCAGACACACAGCATCATTTTCAGAGCCCTGAGAGTGTCTTCACTCTTGCCCTCAACACCTACATCACGGTGTTGAGGGCAACATCTTCCTAGCTAGAGACAGGACACCCTTTGGTCAAGCACCAGTGACAAAAGCACTCTGGACTTCAAGTCAACTGCAGCAACAGAGGACAAGAAATCAGAAAAGTTCACACCTGGCTAGGCACACAGACAGCAGTCGTGGTTTGCTGTGTTGAGGAAGAGCACAAGCTTTTCCCTGAGCAGGCTTTCTCTATCTCAAGGAACTATTAGCAACACAAACCACTGCTCTGGCAAAACCTTCAAGTACTGCGTGACCTGCTCCTGTCCAATGGAGTCTGGTCAACAAACACCAAGCCAAGGCCCTTACTGGTGCTCCCAAAGACCAGAGGATGGGGCAGGCACAGACAGCACAAGTCGATTTCACTACAAATAATGGAACGCCAGAGATGCTGAAGAGCAGTGGGGCTGTTTGTTTAGTGTAAAAATGTATCAATTAAACTTCCTTTCAATTCAGGCAGGAGGATCTGTCCTGTGAAGAGGAAGGCCTCATTGGTTTCTCAAAGCAAGAGTATATTTTAATTTTACCATCATTAAGAAAATGTTATGATTTATGTGGCTGCTGTCAGACTAATATCTTTAGAATTTAGCTGGCTAAGCCAATTCATCTCTAAGACTGATGAAGGCTGATTGCTCTCTATGCAAAATGTATTAAAACTAAATGAGCAGTCTATTACTCAAATGCTGCTGATAATCTGTTAGCCAGGGTCCGTTAGCTGGGCTGCCTTGTTGCAGGAGAGAAGTCTTCATGTCCTGTATGGCTCAGACAGGCCCAAGCTTACTTCAGCAAGTCTTCTTTGTTCTGATGCCTTCGGCAGCTGACCAGAGACGTGCTGGAGTGCTCTGAGGAACGAGGTCACAGCACAGCTCCCTGGCTACTGATGAGCATGCTGGGATGGGTGCTGTCTGAAGGCCCTCTCTCTGCATTACCAAAAAGCAACATCCAGGGCAACCTCAGCACTTACCCCACAGCTCCCGGGATGCTCTTGGCACTGTTGTGAACTAAGCCCTCTTCAGAGGCTAAGGGAAATTCCTCAGAGAACTCCAGCAAGCAACCACAGCTTCCGAGGTGAATGGCATTTGCCCTTTTCTTTCCTTCCTTACACTAGACTATTACTGTTATTTATTATCTTTAAAGTCCCCGTATAATAATAATACCTGGGAAACAGATTGCTCTAGTCAGAAAACTGATTAGCTGGGATTTTTGAGGTTACTATATTTTGGATGCTCCACTCCTTTGACAGCTTCTCCCTACAGCCCTGTTCGCAGCACCAGCCCGCGCTTATAATTACACCAACGTCGCTTTTGATTTAAGGACTGCAATCCTCTGTCCTTGCTATAAACAACCCGCACTAAACACATGAACCACATGTATCAGGAGAAAAATAAATAAAGAGTCACAGAAAATTGCGTGGACCAACAGCACGGGGCCCCAGAGCCTCCCTGCACAGAGGCAAAGCCTTGCTGCTCCAGGGAAACTGCGCAGAGCTTCCAAATGATACAGGATTTTCCATGCCTTTATTTAATGCTTGAGACATCCCGCCAACAAAACCTTGCTAATGCACACTAATGACCAGGAGACCTACTGCAAATTAATTGCAAATTGGCAAAACTCATTAAACGAACAAACATGATAAGAAATAACTGAAGATACAACCTCCCCAAACGGACTCGTTCCATTTGTTTCCGCGTGCCACTCAATTTCCATGATTTATGATAATACTTTGAAGCACAGTCATAAATGTATTTATTTCGGAAGAGTAATGATGGCTGTGTAATTGCAGAGCCTGCAACACAACGCCCTGTTGTGTCCTGCAGCATCACCAGCTGGCAGGTAGCAATGAGCACGGGGGTCTGTGCTGGGAATGGGGCAGGCCTGCAGAACCTACAGGAACAGATTCAGCTAAACACCACTTGTGCTTGTATTTCTATCACCGCCTTAGATGTCCTGCTCTTGTCAATGCTCCATTTTTGGCACTCCTGAAAATCCTGTGCTGATGATCAAACTTTTTGTTTTGGTCTCTCACCAAAAGCCAAGAGTTTTAAATGATTGACCAGTGGTTATTTGGACATCTCACATGACATTTCACCCTCCCTGGTGCTGCACTCCATTTTAATTCAAGACAGGCTTTTCCTCAAAGTCATCCTTCCCCAACCCCCAACAAAACGTCCTAAAACCGTTAATGCCAAGAGCTCCACACTTCTGACCTGTGTCTCTGCAGCTATAAAACCGTGGTTTTACGCACCAGGTCCGTTGTGCAGCATTATAATACAGCTCGCTGACATTGAAAACCACCTTCTTTGTGGATTTCAGCAGCATTCCAAGAAAACTTTCTCATTAGGCACTTTCTTCATGGATGCCTTTAGAGTACTGAGTTGTTTCGTGGCTTTCCAGGAAGACAGAGTGCTGAAGTTTCAGATGAATAATGCTGTCTGAAGAATCTTTTCTGGCTGAAGATGGGGAAAGAAGGTCAACCTGTTCCCCTGCTGCATGGCTCTACTCTGCAGGAACACACAGCCTCCACTTTTGCATGGTTTTAAGACTCAAGGAAGGAAAGAACCATATTACGTATTTTAGCTTCAGAGCTCTGGAATTTAGAAGACCCCAACAGAGAAACTCAATTTCAAGTATGAATGTGCACATTTCTGGCAATTTAAAGGACTTAATTGCTCAGAACTAAAGCGGTACAATGAGAAGTGGGTGGGTAATTACAAGGGATATATGCAAAAGTTGGAAAAGTTTGAAATTACACAGATGTTCTCTGCCTCAATGAATGCACACACCTTCCTCTGTCCCAGCTTACAGCCACAGACCCCGTGTCTTACAACAGTGCCTGCTGCTCTGCCAGACTGAGATTTAGGAAAGATGATAATTAAAAAAATACATATCATAGTGCCATGCCATCCCTGTGATGCAATGTAACATTAAACACAGTGACCCCTTTGGGTAGGCGTGGGACCATCAACTCACCCCATCAGTGAGGCACAATGCTAAATAAAACAATACTTTAGGAAAACATGTCCACATTAACTTTTGTAAGTGCTTATTTCAGGCTTTGTTTTCAGACAGAAGTCAGACATACCTCACAAATTCCCAAATCAATTGTGCATAAGTACAAACCCTATACTTCAGTCCTCCTGGTAGATGAACCTGGCTTCACAAGCTGGAGGACTACACCTCCTCTTATTCTAGAAACCCCATCGCTGCACCAGAGTGCTCTCTTCCCACCTGAGAGTATAGGAAGGCTCTGGCCCAATGCTCTTGCACAGCACAGAGCTGGATGAAAACGGTGAGGGATGCATTTTTCTTCCAGCAATTTAGCATCCATTGCCCTGCAGGTTAGTTAATAACGTCAGCATTGGAAACATGTTGGATTCACCTTCACCAGTTCATTCAAGATGTTGCATCCTCCTATTGCTCTCTTAAAAAATAAACACCCCCACATTTTCATCCTATTCGAGTCTTCACAGACGTGCACTTGATTAGGAACCACAGCAGCACTCACTTAGCCCTAATTAAAGGGCACGTAATGCAACATGTCCACGGTAATGCCACAACCTGAGTTTGATCCAGCCTGCACCATTTGTTCATAACATTTACTCACAGAAACGAGGATGCCATCCTCCCCTCGTGCCTCTGGCAGGCTCCCCATGGACATTACTCTCTCCCACTCTCTTGCAGAGTGCAAAATTTACAACTTCACTACTGAAAAACTGCTAGCAGAAGCAACAAGCACAATTCTGCTAACTGATACATGGGAAGTTCAGACCTGGAAACATATACTTTCCCACCTAACAAGAACGTGCTGACCGCCACCAGACTATCCTACCGAGATGCCTCAGACTGCAATCAATACAAAACAAATAAATTATTAATTGCTGCAAGTAATTAAATTTATCAAATCCAAATAAACTGATATTTTATGGAACTGCTTCCAGAGCTAAGCCTCTGAAGGGACAGTATTGATCACAGGACAGACAGATGTTTCACATGGCCACAGCCGATGAGGTCTGGGTTTGCATTAATGACTGGCAAGGAACAGAGCCAACAGCCTCTGCTACAGAGCAAACAGGCACTGTGCTTGGCCATTTAATTGCGAGGCAGACCAAATAGGGAGGATAAACACACACACAGCCCCATCTTCCCCTCAAGTATCATTCATCTCAGTGCTGCAGTAAGCACTCAGTTCATACTCCAAGAAAAAAAAAAGATGGAGAAGAAATCACACACACATTCCCCCTACAACCACAGTAAATTCTTACTCATTAATCAGTGCTAAAAACAAAATGCTCAGCTGGCTAGTAAATATTTAAAAGCTGTTGAGTGTGAATATTTGAATCAATGGGTACTAAAGCTGCACTTGAAATTTGCCTTCTTCTACTTTTATTAATTGGTTAGAGGGGCAATTTGTCTGCAGGATGCTGGTTAGCAGAAGGGGCTGCCCTGCTGTTTGAAAGCCCTTCCTGAGAAGATGGCCAGCTCTGAATGACCAAGATGCAGTCCTTCCCGTGGGCTGAGGTCTCCACAAACTCCTTTTCACCCTCAAGTTCTGTTTTGTTACCACATGAGACATCACTCAATAGATTTTCCTACAGTTCCTTTGTTTCCGAAGCCGTGACAATAGAACAAGGACACAGATCAATACCAGAAACACACAGGAATAGGGACAAATGTCCATCCTTTTGCATCCATCACCTTCCTTCATAAAAGCACCACCCTTGCCATTCAGCAGCACTAGCTAACCAGAACTTAGAATTTGCAGACAAAGCTGAGAAAGAAATTGAGCAACTCAAGGTAAAACTCCAAAGAGAAGTGAAGTATGCCAAGGTAGGCCCTGAACAAAATGAAGCCTAAGGTTAAACCGAACATGAAGCTGAAGTTCAGCTGAACACAACATGGCACAGAAACAGTGGTGAATTCAAAACCAGCCCAGCTCTGCCCTGCAGAAGCAATGCATGGCACAGATCACAGACGTGCATTCACTGTTGGTTTGGCTGCATCCTGGTAAAGATTCAAGATTAACAGCTCCCATTTTCCCTCCCTGTAGACAGGCCCTCAGCACAGCCTTCCCCATGGCTCCCTGCCTTCCCTTCAGATTCTTCCTCTCCATTCCCCATACAAATTCCCTACTCATCTCTCATTTCCTCTGGCTCTTTGGCTATCTGCCCTCCCAGCTGAGCAGAGCTGGTATAACAGGAAGCTTTCTAGAAGTAACACTTAGAATTAATAATACATTCCTGGTGTTATTTTCATAACAGCTTTACTAACACCAAAGGCAAAGGTGTAAAATTCCTTTTCAAGGAACTCATGAAAGGCTTTACTCCCTTCCCAAACATCTGCTACCACCTCCTGTTCTCAGTGCACCAAGGCAATACGCTGACTTGAATTAAGATGAAGCTTTTCATAACGCCCAGCTTCCCACTGCCATTAGAGAAACTCACGATCTGTGCTGTCAGGAGGCAGAAGGGAAATCCCATGCAGAGCAAGGGCACGGGGGCTGTGGCCTTCTTTGCCCGTGGCCACAGCCCTATGGAGAACAATAGGAGACTGAAGCCATTGTGATAGAAGGCAGCTTGTCAAACTCACTGGAGAAGATTACACCTCAGCGTCTGCTGAAGGAGAAACTTTCAGTTATGAAGAATAATGGCTGTAAGTGACCATTAATCCTAGGGGGAAAAAAAAAAAGTCTTCAAATTCAGCCTGTGCATAAGATATTTGTAAGCTTTAACAACAGGGGGAACTTTAAAAGCCTGAGCTGCCGTCATTAAAACTACTAGGAACAAATTAAGTTGAATACAGACCGCTTCCTTCTTCAAGGACACACTTCTATATATTAATTTTAACTCAACTTATCAGACTAATTGTAAATCTTCAGGAAATAAAAGAATCTCTCTAATCAAAGAGTAAGTGCCATTAGCCTTGGGATGGTACGATACATTTCTGACACGTGACAGAAGTTGAGCCCCTGTTCTCAGTGCAAAATCCAGCTGCACCTAATCACAAAGGTGTAAAGCATGATGGCAAAGTACAAAATAGAGACGACAACAGAAGCAGTTAGATAAGGAACCCCTTAAGACTTCAGGCAAAAGAACTGCAGGATATCACAAGCCTTCAGGAATCATTTTCCAGTGTGCTCAGAGCAAAAGACCTCGCACTGAATGTTGCCAGAGTACAGCTTTCCAGCCCTGAACACCACTTCCCCTGCTAGCCCTAGCCTGCTCCCAACTCCTACCAATCCAACACTGCTGGTGTGGAGAGGGTTTGTCATGAAAATCCCACAGCTGAAGTATTTGGATTAGCATGGATTGTCTGCTTTACTTTACACCACTCAGCTCTCCAGCACCTCTCACCAGTTCACAAGGTACTGATCTTATGCAATCAGTTCTCCCCATCATCCATATGTGAAGGAAGTCAACCTATCAGGAGGGAGAATTAAATAAAGAACCCAGGCAACTGACTAAAGACTACAAATGAATTCGTTTTGCTGGCTTGGAGGGAAGATTCATGTTTCCAAGCAGCAAAGTGCTATTTTTCCATCTAAACCAGTGATTTGCAATCTGTTAAAATTTGCAAACGATTGGTACTTATAATACCAGCATCTACCTCAAAAATTGCAAGCAGAGCATACAAAGCTGCTTCAGATCATCTCAGGAGACTGGATACTGTAGGCTGAAAGTTGCTGAAGCAGACTACCATGCCTTAGCTTACCACTGCATTTTCTAAGCATTAAAGAGCAGGAAGAAGCCAGTGGCACCTATTTTCACAACGGATGGGATCTGAACTGTGCTGTTTGGCACACAAAAAGGCTGCTGGCTTTGCCAGATGGTTCCATCACTGACAGGTTATTGCTCAGTTTCCCTTTCAGGGGGAAAAAAAAAATAAGAAAGATCAACCATCACTTACTAGTTTTCAAAATCTAAATCAATCTCCATAAATTACTCTATTTATCTTAGTGCTGGAGAACACATCTGCCATGCTTCCATAAATCTCAGCGCACACACTGCAGTACGGCCCATAACTTGTTGGATTTTTTGTTGGTGCTTTTTTTTTTGGTTTGGGTTGGGTTTGTTTTTTTTTTTGGCAGAGGTTTGGCTTTATTTTGTTGTTTTTGTTTTGTTTTGTTTTTTCTTCTTCCTCAAGACTGCAGCCCCTTTTCAAACAAGTAACCTGTAGGTGGTGGCACTTCTGCACTAAGGGGTCTCCCCCCCAGCCCTGGCTTTGCACAGGCATGCCACCTTTAACATGCACATACACCAGCAAGTTAAAGCAGCATCATCCCCAACGTGTTCTTATTAGCAGCCCCAGGGTATTCCCAACAAGATCTGAAACTATTCTGACACAAAAGCAGCATCCCATAAAATATTCTTTAAAGTGATCTAGAAAGTGGGGGGGAAGGGCAAGAAACCTCATTCACCACCTTTGCTGCAATAATGCAACTAAGGATTTTTTTTATTTGGTTAGAAAAAGAAACCAAATTTGTCCTGGGCAAACAGGATTTTGCTGTCAAAACCCCTCTGAAAACATTCAGCCAGCCAGGCAGCTCTACCTGACTTTGTATCCCAAAACGTGTCGCTAAGAGACAGATCTCAAATTTTGCAGATTAAACAGCAAGGAAGTTCTTTTCTCAGAGATGTCTGAATGACAGGATGAACAAAGGTGCTTTTCCCACACGTATTTTCCAAAGCAACATACTGGGAATAAAATGGCTAAAAATTGGATGCATTTATGTACCTCTCTCTTTACAAGCCATAATCTGAAGATCCAGTCCTTAAGTGCACCTTCTCACCTACTAACACAGGTGCTCTACGTGGCCTGTGACACTTAGCTGCAAGCTGTTTGGATCAGACAGCTCCATTTGTGTCTGCCACATGTGTCCAACAGCCGAGTGGACACACCAGTCACAAACACGAGCAAGCTCAGGTGCCCCTGCAAGGCAATGTGCTGGCTTCCACAGAGCCAGCATTCCTAGTTTCTGAGTCTCCACATTTGTGGCATTCCTTTCTTATTTTAGAGGCAAGATCTTGACTTTCTTTAGCTATAAAAGGAGAACAGGCGGACTGAAAGATATTAACAGAGGTCCCACAGGACCAGAACAACGGCCTACCCTCTGGCTTCGCAGCGTGACACCTGCAGATTTGAAGTCAGGAAACTTGATGCCAGCAGTCTCAGGAACGGCCTGAAAGAGATCGAAACAGGATGTGTTGATGGAGGAAACAAAAACACAACATTTGATAGAGACACTATCTGAAGGGGAAACGCTGTTTCCTATGACAGAACCACCTGCCATGGCCACATGTCAGAGCTGAGGGGAAGAGGAAAATCCCAAACAAACTCGCAGGGAAAAATACCGGGGCTAAAGGCACCTCTGCAGAGCTCAAGCACTTTGTTAGTTTGCTTTAAAAGCACTGCTCTCCACAAAGCCTTATCCCCATCTAATGAGCATAAACCCTCACCCTAAATGGTGGTACCACCATGTGCATATTTGCACACTATTATCCCTGTCTAACCTGGCCCATTTCACTGATCAAAATTGCCCAAGACTTCCCAAATCTGCAAATTCTCTGATGTAAGAGCTGAGAAACTTCTGATCTGCACAGATAGGAACCCACTAACGAGGATGTGCAGATCATAAGGACGGCACCCCTCCAGGGAAGCCTGCTGTTCATACACATTTTTCCATTTGTCCTTTAATTACACAGTTCCCTCTTTTCCCCACTTCAAATTTTAAGCATAGTAATATGAGAAAGTAAACTTCTAACACAGCTGCCTGACAGCACAGCACACGGCTGCATTTAAGCAAAATGGAAAAAATAAATGTAATCCCATAAACATCTGTGCTGCTGAGCACAGGTGAGCATATTTTTAAGTGATTAAACCAGGCTATCAGCAGGGCCCTTTGCATAGAATAGTACAGGGCCCCCTGGATGGGTCAGTGATACTCATGATTGAATCTAACAATAGCCACAGTCACTGCAAAATGCATGCTCAATCATATTATTCCAAAAGGAACAGTTATCTCAGATCTCCCAATTTCTCTGGAGACAGCATTCGCCTTGCTGCTCCATCATTTCTGTGCAAGAGGCTCTGCAGCTTGCTCTTTGTTCATTCCACATAGGGCTGACACAAATGAGGGCCACCCCACCATCAAAAGATGCTGAAGGACAGCGACTCAATTCCTCAAGTTCCCTGCCACTGACTCCAACTGCTGTATCAGCTACCTGTATGTCTTCGTTCGGAGATAACACCCTGCAAATCACTCTGCATGGCCAGGCATTCAAATTTTTGTTATCTCTGGTCATCCCAACCATCAGAGGCCCCAGGAAGAATTTTCTAAATGTGCCCATGATGGAAAAAGTTATCTCTAACTACCCACTTTTAGGGAATCACTTTGAGATTCAGCAGGTTGCAGCCTCTCTCCCTGCATTATTAGGGAGAAAGAAGGATGCGACCAAAAACCAGTACTCTCTGATTCCTGTGGATGAAGACTGGCTTTCAGATGCCCCAAACTCTGCTCCCCAGTGTGTTGCTGAACACCCTGACACAAGCACTGAAGGTAAATCAGCACCATTGGCTTGGCTGAGACAACTCTGACTGCACTCAGAACACGAGCAATTAAATGAGTTCTTTTGCCTCGCGTGCCTGTACACGCTGTAAACGCTTCAACCTCAATTGACTCTTTGGTAAATGATTTTCCTTTGTTGAAATGATGCTGATGCAGCTCCCGATTCAAATTCTTAGTTAAAATGCAATTTTTTTCTTACCGTTTCCCAGCTATGGTTGGTAATTGACTCCTAATGGACTCTGTCATGGTTGAAATGATGCTAGTGCAACAACAGAAACTGCTTCTCTGCCCACCTCAGTGTGCCTATCCAGTACATGACTGCAGACAGGCTCCAGCCCCACGTGCAGTTAGTGCTAGATTCCCTCATCTTGGCATCCACAGCATCCTTCCAGTCCTATTCTCCACCATCACCTTTTTGTCATTACCACTAATGATGAGCTACTTTATTCAGAGGAAGACAAGTGGGTAAGCTTTAACAGATCAGCCCTCAAGGGAACTCACTGCACAATGTCCCCAGCACTGCTGTACTCATTATGTTGGCTTGGGTGCTGGGGAGAAGTTTTAAGGTAGTGGTGGCTATTAGGCACGCTTCACTGGGCAATGACTCTCTAGCATTCACTTCTTCTCTCCCCTCTCTGCACAGAACCTTCTGGGGGATGATGACAAGTGTTCCCTGATCACAGTGTGGATGGACAAGAGTTACTAGTGATTAGATGGAAATACCTGAGATGTAACAGCTCCCCCTTCCTATCAAAGGTGCTGGTTTTAGTTCAGTTCACGCTGCCCTCTTTCCAGAAAATGAGATTAAGGTAACATCAAATGTGAATCAAAATCTGTGTTCCGGGCTTCTTAGACTTTAGCTTGGCTCAGAAAGAAACGAGACACAATAGCTCCCATAATGCAGGAGTATCACAGAATGGCAGGAAGGGACCTCTGGAGGTCATTGATTAAGCAGAGACACCCAGAGCAGGTTGTTCAGGCCCATGTACAGACAGCTTTTGAAGCAGGGAGACTTCACAACATTTTGGACAACTTGTTCCAGCACTCTATCACTCACACAGTAAAGAAGTGTTTCCTGATGTTATGCAGAACCTCCTGTGTTGCAGTTTGTGCCCATTACCTCATCTTAGCACTGGGCACAACTGATAACAGCCTGGCTTTGCCCTCTGTGCACCTTCCCTACAGGTATCTATGGATATTGACAAGATCCACCATCTTTCCTCCTCTCCCAAGCCTCCTTTCTTCCCAGCTGAACAGTACCAGCTTCCTCAGCCTCTCCTCATAGCAGAGATGCTCTGCTTCATTTATCATCTTGGCGGCTCTCTGTTGGACTCTTTCCAGTGTGTCCATGTCTCTCTCCATGGACACAGCATCTCAGCAAGACTGCTCTGATCACAGCTGAGGCTCAGGAGAGAGACATGGAATCAGCTTGAGAAAACGTTCCTGAGAACCAGGAGCATGGAGGGGATGAAAAACCCAGACCAGGAAAAGAAGGCAGGTGAAAGATGATGGGTCTGTGTGACAACTCTGCACAGCAGAAGCAGAACACCCTTAGGAGAGCAGAGACAGATGTTTTTCTCTCTGCCATGAGGCATGAATGGTTGGCTGACACCATTTCATCCTGTTTCTCAGGTAGGGAAAGGAAAACATTATTTAAACCAGCACTTTTCAAATGGGAGACATAGAGCATACTAGAGTTCTCTGCAAACGGCTGACTTCCAAAATTCATCCAAAGAATATCTGCCAGAATGCAGCAGCCATCAGCCACTCTCCCCTAAAACGCTGAAAGCCTGATCCCAGTAGAATTGCTGAAGCAAACACATGTTACCCAGCCAGATCACAAAGAAGGAAGAAAAAAAGATAAACGTTTACAGGCTTCTCTGTCTCTTTCTTCTGCGGCAGCTTCTTCTTGGGAGCCTTGCGTTCAGCGCGTCTCTGTTCAGTGGTGGTGTCAGCAGCTGTGATGAGTTTCTGCAGATCTTGTGTTCTCTTCTCTCTCTCCTTCTTTCTGGTTTCAATTTTGCGGAGCTCCTGAATGAGATATTCCTCTTCTGCCACCTGCAGACCAGAGCACAGAAAGGCGATCAGAGTAGTAGAGGAGGCCTAGCAAGGCAAGGGGGCCATCTACTGATAACAACCACGCTCTGGATCAGCTGACTTTAAGTTCCTCTGCCTAAGCAGAGGGCTCGGATTTACAGAGCACATTACGCTCTGCAGAGCACAGTAAGACAGCTTACAACCTAGCAGGTACTGTGTGGCAACATTCACAGTCCACCCTTCAGCAGCAATCATGAGTGATCAGTCTCCTCTTCAGAAAGGAGAACGAGCACAGACAGAAAGGTTAAAAAAGCTCAAATATGCTATAGCTGCAAATGCAGTGCTATGAAAAGCTGACTCCCTCCAGACATGTAATTACATTACATCTAATATCAGCACACCAATACATGTGGGAAAGACAAGCAGAGTCATTACACACATAAACTTATCACTAGATTGAGCACCTAACAGAAAAGGAGTTTCCCAAACTTTGGGGAACACACAGCTCCTTAATCTCTAAATCCCAAAACCATTATGCCACTTCAACAGAGAGGAAAACTAAGCGTGCCAACTTATAGCCTTTGATCAAGACTTATACTCCAAAGGAAATAATTCTCTCCCTGTTGGGACTCAGGATCTTTGTTAGACCTGTAGATGGTATATGGTCACCGTGAGCCTATGGGAGCCAGAATGAATTCAGATATTATGAAATATCACAGAACAGTAGGGGTTGGAAGGGACCTCTGGAGACTAGTCCAACCCCCTGCTAAAGCACATTCCCAAGAGTAGATTACACAGGAAAGCACCCAGGTGGGTTTTGAGTATCTCCAGAGAAACAGAATCACAGAATCACAGAATTGTAGGGGTTGGAAGGGACCTCCAGAGATCATCAAGTCCAACCCCCCTGCCAAAGCAGGTTCCCTACACCAGGTAACAGACTCCACAACCTCTTTGAGGAGCTTGTTTCAGTGCTCTGTAACACTCAAAATAAAGAAGTTTTTTCATACATGCTTCTGATATCTAAAGACACTGATCTGAGAACTCCTTCTATTCAGAGGACTGGAACAGTTAAGTGCCACAATGAAGGTACTAGCAGTTACCAGAGGACATAACTCTGCTTATCCAGCTCTCTCACCTGTAGAGTAAGACTCCTTAGTTATTGTCCCTTTGTATCCTTTAAAAATGAGAAATCCCCCCCCCCCCCAGAAAAGCAATACTCAGGTGTTGATGTTTTCTTGTTCAGTCTTTTTTTCCCTTTCCCTATTTTCGGCCTATTTTACCCACCCACTGACATAAGCCTGGCATAAAAATTTTGGGGGCAACAATACTCTCTTCTCCATTACCTGTTCTGGTGTCCTATTGTACAGCCTTTCCAGTTGTTCCTTCCTCCTCCTCTCATGGCCAGCATCAAAAACTGGGATTTTCAGGTCTGTGCCTGGAGCTGCACGAATATTAGCCAGCTTGGCACAAATGTGGTAATACCGTTCCTTCAGGTCTTCCACAGATCTTTTCTGAGGAAGACATCAAAAGAGGACTGAATTATGAAAGAACTAAGCAAAACATTGCACAGTAACCAGATAAGGACACAGTAGCTGAAGGATGTCAGGTGGGCTGTAAGAGAACACCTGGGATGAGGATTACCAGGAAACTGACAGACACACCAGAGGCCTCCTCTGAGCTGCTGTCATAGCAGCGGCCATAGCCAAGAAGGCATCAGCTGCAACAGTTCATTGCCCAACATTACATGGAACCTAAACCATGATCTATCACAAGCACTAAAGGTGTTTGGGCCGCCCAACTGGGCAGACTCTTGTTATTTCACTTTGTTACATGCTCTTCACCCAAGCATGTCAGAAGGCAACAAAAGCCTCCAGCTCTTGAAAGCTTTCTGTGGGAATCACATCACTGCCAAGTCACCAACAGGTTACAAGAGATTTAGGACCATGCCACCAGGATTGCATCTTCAGACCACTGATGGTCATTACTTCTCCAAAGAGATGACAGAAGCCTGCACCCAGGTCAAACCTCAAGTCAGAAGTAGCACAAGAAAAAAACCCCAGTCTTCCAAGGGAACATGAGAAGATTCTTCTCCCAGGGCTGATACAACAACAGAGAACACCTATCCTGCTCAGTTAAACAAACTCCCCAGCTGCCTCATCTTCAGGGAATGAGTCGTTCTTCTGGCAGGGACAAACCTAACTTCCTAATAAAATGCAACAGGGAATGAGCACAAGTCACAGTGGATTTAATTACAAACAAAACAAGCAGCGATGCCCTGTGCTGGAAATTCAATATTCCCTGCTGCCAATAATTCATTATTTTCCCCTAATTAAGTTGATATAAAGGGTAATTTGCTCTTTGCAGCGCAGCAAGCCCTACATGTGCTGTAACAGCAAGCTGCCAGCAACACCTTGGCCCTTGGGACTCACCTTAAACTGCTGGTGATCATAGCGGTCATGAATCACCACGAAGCGCAAGTCAAAACGCCGAGCCAAGTCGAAGAGGTGGTCTGTCTCTGCTTTGGTCCACGCATCATCATGGAGATACATCTGGTACTCCTGCTCTGAGTAGACAGGTACCTGCACTGTCTAAGCAGGGAAAAGAAAAACATGGCAGCTCTCTTACAACACCACCTTTCTCACATAGCCAGCTGATAGCAGCTGAAATTCTGGAGCTGAGGGCAAGAGCAGCAGGCTGACAGGAAGGATGAAGGATCAGGGAGGCACTGCGAGAATGCTGAGCAATGCGCCCTGATAGAAAGTGTAAAGTAGGCAGAGGAATTCACAAGGAGCAACACGGGATCTCAGCACCACAAACACGACTACTGCCTGGTAGGCTGAAACCTACTTCACATAGGCAGAGTCACCAGCCCACATCCCGAAAATAGGTTGCAAAACTGCCACGTAAATGTGAGAGTGAAATCAAGGCTGGGCCAGCTTCCCTCCCTTCCTCTCGCACAGCAGCACCAATACTTTGACATCAGCTGCTCTGACAGTTGATTCTAATTGAGCTGGGACATGCCTACTGCCTGGGAGCAACAGGGTAGACAAGAAAGGGTCCTATTCCTCAGTATACTTCCTGCTTTGATACACAACCCACTTCTTTCAGAGCACAATCCACACCAAATACGAAGATCTGAAAGACCAGAGCAGTACAACTGAGACCTGTAAGCCTGGCAAACAACTCTGCCTTTCCTTCCTCATCTACCCTTTTCCTCAGCAGAGCTACAAACAGCACTCCATCCCACGTGCCTAAAAGGTCAAACCCACACCACATTTTCCTGCTTAAAATTGCTCTGCAGAGGCTCTATCCAGAACACAAGTGTCACATAGTGCTCCCTTAGATTACTAAAGGAACAACAAAAATACTTAAAGTCACTCCCTCCCTTACCACTCCTGCAGTGGAACTTTGCTCTGCCTGATGAGGTCTTGCAAGAGAAACAGGAAAACATCACATGCATGTAAGCAGCACACACGCTTCAAAACCTCCATGCCCTCCTGAGTCCTACAGCAGAAAACTCATCCTCATCAACTCCACACAGCCTCTTCAGATCTCTCCTGCCTTTCTTCCAGCACTTAGGCACGGAAGCATAAAGGTGAAGAATATCTCTTGGAGACACACTGCACACACCTCAGTCTTCAAGCACTACTTCTATCAAAAGAAAAGCCATCCTACTAGACACCATAAGGATGTCCTATATACTTCTTCAGAAAAATTTTCTTTTTTAAGAGTATCATACATACATGAAAAGAGCACAGCCCTGTGCAGCAGATAGCAGGGAAGGTGGCAGATCCCTGGTCATAGAAGGGAAGGAGACAAAGAGCAGTCCTCAGACACCTCCTCAGCCTCTCTCTCAGTGGCTCACAGGCTTCCCCAGTTATGACAGTCTACACAGTGGGGACTCCTTCAAAGAGATAACTTATGAGAGTTACTTTGGTTGCCTGTATAAGTCACTTAAGGTTTTAGCACCTTGTGGCCACGCCACTCAGAATTTGCATTTGCAGTAAAACAACTCGAAGCTGGATCAGCAGAAATGGGAAGAGACTTCTGAGCACAAGGAACACAGTTAAGCACTGCAGTGCTGGAAGCAAGTCTTCTGTAAGAGGACAAGCTCGCATGAGATGGGAAGCCTGAACATCAGATGACCATCAGTTCAAATGCAATACAGCCATGAAGATGCAAACAAGAGTCTCCAAGAGGATTTCCAGCAGAAACTGAAAGGGCTTCAGTTGCATAACAAGACCTTGTCTGGAATACCAACTACAACTCAAGTGACCAATGCTCAGAAAAGATGAACAGAGATGGGAACAAGTAAAGAGAGGAGCAACAAGGATGAGTAATGGGGTGGGGAGCTTGTGCTCTCTCCTCAGACTGGATGAGAAAGGAGCCTAGTAGAAGAAGCCTGAAAGAGATCTGACTGCAGGGTTCAAGGATGCTGGACAGAATGCAAAGGATACTTACAGGATGGGAAAAGAAAAAAAAAAAAGAAAAACAACTGATATAGACAAAGAAATTGGCTCACAAGAAAAAAAAAAAAATTGCCCATTTAACATGGAGAATTCAACCTGGAAATGAGAACCGGAGCAGACAGCGACTGGAACAGCTTCCCAAGCAAGCACAGGGGCAGGGAAATCCAGCAAATGGAACTTGATCAGTTTATGAAAGGGACTGGATGGTGCAGGGCCTGAAAGAGACAAGGGTTCAATGGCCCAGAAAACCCCTCTCAGTCCTACACATTTCACACTACAAACTCACACAATGATGGGCTTTACATTAGCTGCAACTGCTCAGGAAAGATCCTGGAGCCATGAGACAGTTCTGTGAAAACACCAGCACAATGCTAAGCAGCAGTGAAAAGACAAACTGAACAGTAATAATGACTAGAAAAAAAGAAACAAACCCACCATACCTCCAGAACAGCAACATGCACTCACAGTCCACCCATTTCTAAAGAAAGGATGTTTGAGCACAGAGGGCAGATGCAAGTCAAAGCATGGAAAACAGTGTATGCAGCAAGGACAGCTTACTGTCTTGTAACTCGAGAGCTCAAAGGCATCAAATGAAATCCACAGATAACAGTTATGAACAACACAGAAGCACCTCTTTGCACTACACAAAATGAACCTGCAGAACTCACTGCTGTACAACGTTCACAAAGCACACACTATTAAAAACAAGTTCCAAGTTAAGAAATCCCCAAGTGAAACACCAGCAGAAGCTAGCAACACACGCGCTGTATTTGCCCCCTTCTCCTACTCTTTCTCCAAACCTTTATGAACAGTAGTCAGAAAGAGAATTTTGGCTAAGACAAGCCTTTCAAACCTTTGCTCCTACACCAGCAAAGCTGCTTTTATGTTCTCATTTCACAATGGATCATAGGGGAAACTGGAAGCACAGAGAAAAGGCAAAGCAACTGAGCAGTGGTGCAGGAATGGAGTTAAAGAGTTTGAGTGACCAACAGGACAGTCTGCACAAGAATGTGGGCTCATTAACAGGGGTGAGAGACACAGACAGAGGTATCACGTATGCAAGAAGGATCCAGGAGAAAAGTAGGGAAAAACAAATAAATTTGCCCCTAATATTACATGGTTGTGTGGGTGCACACAGATGGCAGAGGTCTGTACCACTAATCTGTAGGTTGCAGCCTTGCTGAAGACTCTTCTGTCTGTCAATTCACAGTACGTGATAAAGTTAAGGAAACAAGAATCATGTAATTACAACACCCAAGCGTGGTCCCCTGTGATAAACTTGTCTGAACTCAGCCAAAAACTGTTAGAGAGGTAGAGTCTTAGAGATAATTGCACTGCCAAAGTTTCATGCAGACAGCTAGGTAGGTGCCTTGACTAAGTGAGTCCTGTTTCAGACTTCCACCCTAGACATCAGAGAAGAGATACCACAGGAGGCTCTTACCAGCGTCCCAACAAAAGAGAAAGCATCAGTCAGAGTCTGAGCCTTCTAACATACAAGGTCAACCAACTGCTTAACTCTGCAGGATGCCAGGCTTTGTTAGTGCTGATGCTCCACGGGTTGCAAACTTGAAATGTTGTATACAGTTACATACAAGCAGAGCTTCTGCAGAATCATGGGATCACATGCTTTTTTTTTTTTTTTCCTTCCTCCTTGAGGTTTGCATCATAAAGGGGGTTAAATGACATAATGGAAGCATACTAAGTCTCCTCCATCCTAACTTTTGAGGTCCTGACTTTGAAATATAAATCTTGCTGCAGCTTCCTTTCTGTACGCACATGAAAGCACTAACCACTCAAAGCAGATACATCTGGGACAAAAGACAGCAGGAGATTATAACAACGCGTTGTGATAATTTAATATAAGATGCAAAGAACAGGGTACTGCACTGCACTGATACCACAGGAGCAATTTCAGAGGAATGCGATATAATTCAGTATCTGTGTTGGAATCTGGCCAAAAGGCTGCAAGCCAGCGTTTTGGCCAAGAAGCTACAAGTGAATTTTTTCATACTGGGCAAGATAACAAGACTTATGACTTCAATGCCTCACTCAGAATAGAGCATTTTACTACCCACAGCCTGTAATCAGGGAGAGGACATCGGTTAAGAAGCTAATTAGACGGTGCAGTGACTCCTTACCAAATTGGAACTGCACCCCTGTAACACAGAAATACTCTGGCAAGCTCTGACCACATACTGAGCCCACTCAGCTTGGAGGATTTGGAGACTTCATAGTCTGAGGTTACAAGGCTGCATTTAAAATGCAACTATCAAATCTATTTCAGCCTCCAGACATTGAAAGAACCAGCTTCCTGTCTGGATACTCAAACAGCTGATGAAAGGATAGTTTGCAGCTGCTATTTATTCACTTCTGTCTGAAACTGACCCCACTTACTTTATTGAACCTGGCGAACGGGTAGTCCTTTCCCTCCTCTGCTGCTCTCCTCCAGTGGTAGAACATAGCTCCATCTTTTCTTGCTGGGTTGGTGAAAGGCATCCACTTCCAAGGTCGGACTTTCTTCGACCCCAGCTTTGCTTTGACCGTTCGATAACCCTGAGTTGTATCACTTGGCAGCAGTGGAGGTGCATCCCTGTGGTGGAGACAAGCACCAGCTGAAGAGAAGCAGGAAGAAGCCCAGGACAAGCCAGAGCTCAGACTCACAGTGGGATTTCCCACAATATCCAGGGTGGGAAAATCTGAATTTCAATTTTATTCCAGGATTTGCGCTTCCCAAACTGCAATGCTAATATGCTCAGCTCTTCCATGATGCTTCAGTGCTGGTCATACAGCAGCACCTAACCCTAAATTGCTCTAAGCCAACTCTAGTGCTGACATAAGCTAAAGCACAGCTCACAACTTCTAAGGTAAAAAGGATGCGGAGATGATTACATACCGTCAGAGAAACAATTCTCATTGCATAAGCTGAAAGTTGCATGCATCAGAGAACAGAATGCACTGCATGGATAATTGTGAACACAATCACCTGGAAAGCAAACTATGCAAGAACCCTCTGAGGCAAGGGCACAACCCAGAGCAAGCCAAATACAGGATGCAACAGTACTCTCTTTGCAAAAGTAAAAGCAGGTGCTATTTCCAGCCACAAAAGAAGAGCATTAGATAAAGAGAGGTAATAACACTGCATTGGTTGCACTGGCCTACTGCACATGGACCTAACTCACTCCATACACAAAGCAAACCCCTCAAATTTAGAAGACAGGCAAGGCACTGTCCACAGAAGTCCAAGAGAGGGGCATGCAAATGGGCAATGACTCTGGAAGGCAAGACTGCAGACACACACAGATTCTGCCCTGCCACCAAAAGCCCAGGCTGCAACCTGTACAGATGAACTCAAGCTCTTACTTTTTGTCAGAGTAGAGGAGTGCATAAACTTCTCTGTGCATTCCTTCTGGCCTCTTAAACGTCAACGTCTCTGAAGATTTCTTGGATTTTTTCTGAAACAAAATATTTGAATTTTAGTTTCAGACATGGCAAAATCCCCAAAGGAACATATAAAACTACAAGAGCTGGAGCTCTGTTACGTTCTTCATTTCTATCTGTTTGTAGACACCTTGAGTTTCTCCAGAAAACTGCCAGTTCCTGTGGAAGACACTGACAACAAAGCAGGCCTGCTTTCAGTGATAGCACTCACTGCTGCTCAGACACCTGCTTCTGAAAACACTTTGATCTGCTGACCTTACAGCAGCCCCACATCAAAACTAACAGAAGAATCACTTGTACAAGTAAACCCTCACTCCTGTCTCAAGTGTCATACTCACACAGTAAAGCTTCTGCTGGCTTTTTGTTTTTTTCCCCACGTACTATCCTCATGTTGAGAATTCAGGACAGACAAATCAATCTAGCCCTTAAAAAGCTTGTCAGAGCTGATGGTTTCTAAGGCATAATCCATCTTCTACTACCTACACAATTTTATGAAGAAGTAACATTAACTACTGCATTATCAAGGTACACTTTGAGTGAGCCAAGTTTACTGAGTAGCCCGAAACATTTGGTCTTTCTAACTACTTACCATGTCACTACTTCTAATAGTGCTTACCACAGCACTACCTCTCTTAAATAAGAATATTTTGTGACAGTAAAAGTAACTCCATAACATAACTGTATTGAACACAGTCAATTCTAATAAGAAAATTCAAAATCCCATTAAAAAAAAAAAAAAAAAAAGCTATTATCTTGAACTACAGCTCCTCTCCATACAACTTCATTACACACGTTCATTATATTAGTACATTTTTACTCCTAATCAAATATCTTTCTCTGTGCTTGTCAATCACTTTGCATAGGAGCAATGTAAGGCCAGCCAGGGCAGTTCCCCACGGGTCACCATGTGACCTATTTGAATACTGGCTTCCAAAATTCCCCCAACGTTTCCAGATTTATTAAAAGTTAATGTCAGCAAGTCAGAGATCACCTCAGCCAGCTCTTTTAGGACCTGAGAACAAATTACCTGGTCCTGTTGATTTAAATGTTTTTTATGCCCAGTAATTTTTCTAAAGCATTCTCAGTCACTAATGGACTGGAAAGTACTTCATCGTTCTCCTGTTATTTAAAGACATCAATCTGAATCTTTTCTAGTTGAGAACAGAACTATTTCCTGAGCAAGTGCTGCACGGTTATTACTGATGCTTATCTCTCTCTGTGATAATGGATTATGCCTTTGGAATGATTTCATTTTTGTACTGTGTAGAAATTCCAAATGCTTCGCTCCCAGCTGCACACAGCCTCCACCACTCCTTCCAAAACCTCCCACTTTCCTTCCCTTTCCTCTCTCTTCCCATTAGACAGCCAAACTTGACAAGAACCCCATTTTGTCTTCCACTCCAAAGGAGGCAGATATTCTCAGTACTCCTTCCACTCTCTGCTAGCCAAAAAACAAGTGCATCTCAACCAAAGAACTCACAACTCTGTGCACTCAGCAGCACAACATCACAGGCTGAATCCAATCAGTGAACTGCTTGCTGGACACACTTTACCATAACAACTGATAATTGGGGATTGTAACACTTCAACCTTCTAATTAGGGAGAGTAATCAGTTTTCCATTAGCCCAATTATAAACTATGTGCTCTATTCCCAGCAAGGCAGTCACAGAATCACTTCAGAGCCAAACATTCCAGTGGAAGCAAGCAAAGACAGTAAGGAAGGGAGATGGGGGCGTTTTTCATTTTGTTGTGGCTGTTCTTTTCATCCAGTACACAGGCTTTACTTCAAATGAGGCCATCTCTGCTACAGACAGATCCCTGGGGATTTCATATCCCCTGCACCATTTTCCAAGCACCTCCACATCCCATTATTAGCTGTGAATTGATCTTCCCAACACCTTGCAAAGCACGGAACAGTAAGATCTTGCCTGAATTTAAAACACAAAAGGCAACAGCACCCAGTAGAATATTACCACAGAGAATGCAGCATACTTTCTTAACTATTTCCCAGCTTGCCCACATTCCCACAGGCAACACTTCCCAGTTGTCCCAAAGACGAGGCACACAGCTCACCCACATGCAGCCTGCTTGTTCAGTTTGAGAGTATTTATCATTTAAACAGGTCAGACAATGTCTCTGTCTTCTCAAGCAGAGCTGCTTTGTATTACTTACATATGTTTGGGGACTAGATGCTAAAAACCTTTTTCTCTTCCCCCCACAAGAGAATTTTGGAGACAGTCGAAAACATCCTGAGTCCAGGCCTAACTCACAAGAACACTCTCTGCACAGCTACAACTTAAATATCGCCCCAAATGCTACAGCACCAATAACTAAGAACTACAGGAACCCAGGAAGTTCCCGGGAAGGAACCCATGCCAACCCTGCAGGCATGTCTAGGTACACCACAGGAATCTGAAAATAAACACGCTATGACAGGAACGCGCTTTACTCCATCTTTTCTCAAATATCCACCCCAGAGACCACACAGTAGGTCCATCAGAACCCAGGAAACAAAGCAGCAGCCGTTTAGCTGTGGCAGTTCACCTTATCTGAGTTGATGATATCCTTCTTGTTGATGGTGCCTGTGTTCTCAGACTCCACACCCCCCAGCTCCAGGATGTCCCGCACATCTGCACCCGTTGCCATCTCGCTGCCTGCCTGCTGCCTTTGCCCACCACCGTCCTGTCCAGCTCCAGGGAGGGGGAGAGCAAAGAGCTGGAGTCACTGTGCAGCTCCTGGTGGTGGCACATCCACTGAAAAACACACATGTGCATATATGTACTGAGCTGCACGATGCAAGTACACATATACAGATACACACACCCTCATATAAGTACACAGACACGCAAACATATACCTACACACATTTAAGCATATGCACACACATATATACACACATTTATACATACACACAGACCTAAGTACATGCACACACACCTACACACGCATACGGAACACACAGACACGCTCATATAGATACATGCACATGCAAACATCACATACACACACACAGATCCAAGTGCACGCACACGCACGCCTATACACACGTACCCACACACATACTACACTCACACGTACCCCCACACACAGCCGCCTCCCGCCCCTTAGGCCCAACACCGGGCCCTCGCACCCCACCTCCCCCGAGACCCACGCACACCATCCCCGCGCCGGCTGAGGGCGCAGCGGGCTGCCGGGGTCGCGAAGAGCCGCGGAAGCCCCGCTTAGCCCCGCTTCTCGGACCCCTCCCGCCCTCACCCGCTCCAGCTCCGCGGCCACCGGGACGGTGCAAGCAGCACACGGGCCCGGGCAGCACCACTTCCGGTCCCGCCACGCCGCGACCGGAAGTGCCCGGAGCCTTTTGTGAACGCACCGCGAGGTTGAGGGGGAGGAGGAGGGCGGTGCGAGGAGGTTTTTCGATCGCGGGTTCGAGCCCCGCTCCCGCCAGGTGGCGTTCCCGGCTCGGATCTGCGGGCAGCGAGCTGTGCGCCCGGCTCGGCGGCCGCTCGGCGAGCTCCTTCCTTGTGGAACACCCAGGATCGGGTGCTCAAAGCCAAGTATCGCTTCCCGGGGTCTTAGCAGCTCCGGGGCTTGCCTGAGCACACCTTTCCTCCAGCCGTGCTGCCAAGCTCGTGCTGCCAGGGCCGGTCCCACGTGGTGCTGCCAATGTGTCCCTCTGTGTTTGTCTTGGGTTGTCATACAGTCCTTTCTCATTTCTGAGGGACACGGTTAGCAGACACAACGGGAGTGGGTTGGTGTTTGGACTGGATGACCTCAGTGGTCTTTTCCATCTTCAGTAATTCTATGATCCTTCTTCATCCTTTGGCCCAGAGGTGGTTTCCACTATTCCCCTATTACAGAGAGAAATGAGGCTTCCCCAGCATTTTGTGCAGAGGAAGGCTGGCCCTGCCTCTGCCCTGCTTTCCCTGAAGAACTTGGTACACAGAATCACTCAGAATGCCAGGGTTGGAAAGGACTTCAAGGATCATGAATCTCCAACCCCCCCACCACAGGCAGGGCCACCAACCTCCCCATTTAACACTAGACCAGGCTGCCCAGGACCCCATCCAACCTGGCCTTGAACACCTCCAGGGATGGACAGGGCATCCACAACCTCTCTGGGCAGCTGTTCCAGCACCTCACCACTCTGTAAAGAACTTTCCCAACATCCAACCTAAATCTTCTCTCCCTCAACTTAAAACCATTTCCCCTTGTCCTGCTGTTGTCTACCCTTTCAAAGAGTTGACTCTACTCCTGTTTGTAGGTTCCCTTTAGGTAATGAAAGGCTGCAATGAGGTCACCCTGCAGCCTTCTTTTCTCCAGGCTGAACAAGCCCAGCTCCCTCAGCCTGTCTTTGCAGGGGAGGTGCTCCAGTCACTTAATCATCTTTGTGGCCCTCCTCTGGACCATCTCCAACAGCTCTCTTTCTTATACTAGGGGCTCCAGACCTGGACACAGTACTCCAGATGGGGCCTCACAAGAGCACAGTAGAGGGGGACAATCACCAGTGGCTGCAGTGCAGCTTCTTTTAGCACCTCGCTCACAGGTCATCCATGCTTTGTTTGTGAAGCTGTACAACAGCACTTCTAGAAAACAAAACAAATTTTGATCTGCCCAGAGGCAGATGGCCATTTGGCATCCTTGAGCTATGATTTTAGCACCTGCTTTTCTGAGCAGGGGATTTCTGTGGTTTCTGAGGGGCAATGCTTCATCCAGGAGCTTTCACAGTTAGCAAAGGGGCACAGCTGGAGATGTCAGTCACCTGAACACGCCTGGTCCCAGGGCAGGATGCTCTGCCCACAGACGGCCATGAGGCAGGTTCATGACAGACGGCCCCATGCCAGAGGTGTGCGTGTCCCCCAGGCTGGCACCTGCGGAGGAGGACAAGTGCAAACATTGCGGCCATGGGGCGGGAGGAGGTTATCTGGGGCCCAGCAGTGGAAAAACTCTCGGTGTGTGACTAAGACACGATAGCGCCAGGTGTGGGTCCAGGCATGGTGAGCGAGCTGGGGAATTATCGCTTCCCCATGGATTCAGGTGCCTGAAGCCAAATGTTTCCTAAGGGTGCGGTGACAGCCACAGCCCCGCTATCACGGCGCCTGGCCCACCCCGTGGCCAAGCAGCGGGGATGTGGGGGCTGACTGCTGGATTTTCCCTGGTGCTTGGGACGGGACACAGCCCAGCACCCTACAGTGAGCGTCAGACGCCAGCCCTGAGTACATCCCTTGGTGGAATCACCATACTTACATTCCCAGGGAGGCAAGATCCAACACCACCTTGCTGCCCCCAAAACCCCATCCCCAGAGTACCTGAGTAGCATTCCACCCCCAGTACCCCCATCCTAGCTCCATCTCCTGCCATCTCCAAATCTACTACTCTTACCATGAAAGAGCCCCCAGCTCCAAGCCTGTCCCCCCCAGGGCCCCAGTCCTGCTGGCAGGTGCCTGCAAAGGGCCGGCCCCGCTGCAGCCATGACTCACCTCACTGCTGGGACCTGTTGTTCCATGCCTTGCTGCTTCCCTCCCTGCTGCCTCAGCTGCACTCCAAATCTGTGGGTCTGCACCGTGAGGTCTGGAGGGGTCCCACCTGCTTTGCTGGAGCATTTTGGGTCCCTGTATGCCCTGCCAGGACACAGCAAAGTACTTTCTGGCTGGCCATGCCAAAGGGCATGGGTTGTTTGTCTCATCTGGCATGGAGTGTTTCTCAGTGTTTCTGAGGGTGTTTTCTCACTGCCTTCACAGCTTTGCAGGCAAGTTTACCTGGGCAGGGATCAGGCACCCTTCTCCAGCAATCAGCACACCTTGGCCCAGGCCACGGGGAGAGGCTGAGTCTCATTAACAACAAATTAGGGGCAATTGCCATTTTCACTGCAGCCACTTCTGGCCCTGGTGAGGATCCTGGCCATGCCTGGGGTAGTTCTGCCTGGGATGGAATCCTCTGCCCTCAGCTCAATGCCAAGCAGCACTGTATGAGCTAGGCCCTGCTCCCGCCCCGATGATGAAAGGTGAAGAAGAACTGGTTTGTGCTCTGATCTCACAACCCAGCCTCAAAACAGCCGCGGACCGTCACCGCAGCTCCCAAGATGCTCGGGGAGAGGACAGCAGAGCCAGCCTTTCCAGTGGGACGGGATGGTTGGAGAAATTCATCGTTCCCCTGGAAATAAAAATAATAATCATAATAAAAACACAAAGCCAGAGATTACTTATACGCACACAAACACAGAGGCACGCACTCTCTCCCCATCTGGCTTTGCCAGCCTGACTCATCGCTAATTCAAACAGCCCACACCTTTCCCTCTCCCTCCATGTGACATTTTGAACGAGTGAAGGGGAAGAGGCAGCAGTCCCAGAACTTTGCTGGAGCCATCCTGCTGGTGTCAGACCCCTATCTTTTGGTACAGGGTCCCAGAATTGGAGCACCCCAGGAGCCCATCACAGCTCCCCTATGTCCCAGTGTGGTCAACCCACAAACACACCCCTCCAAAACTGGGGCAAGCCAAGTGCGGAGGCAGCTGTAGAAAGGACGAGTGACAACTCAGTGGGTTAGTAATGCCTGCTGATGGAGTCCCATATGCACAGGCAGGATGCAAAGTCCCAAGCTGGCTGCCACCCTCCTGCCGAGGGCAAACCCAAGGGCTGCAGGCTGGGTACTGGCCCCAGGACAGCCATTCCCTGCTCTGCCATTCCCAACTTTCCTCCAGCTGAGCTCACCACAGCAGGAAATGGGAAGGAGCAGACTCAGCTCAAACCCGCTCACAGCAGAACTCCACGCAATTTCCACCTGCAGGACATCAGAAGTCACCACTACAGGCAGGGCAATACTGGGGGCCAGGCACCGCGTGCTCCCAGCACAGCATCAGGCCTGGACAAGCCCCAGCTTTTGGAGGGCTGTATGCATGATGGGTAATCAGCCGTGGGAGGGAGGGATGGAGCCAGACCTGCTTGCTGAGCTTAGGACCTGCCAGCATGCTGCTGCTGAGTCACCCCATTAATGCAGGGAAACCTCAGCACCTGAACCCAACAGCGCACAGGGACAGGCGGCCACACGCAGCTCCTGGGGTGAGCACACAGCCAGTGCCACGCTCCTGCTGCAGGGGACAGCGGGACGGGGCACTCAGGGAAGGCAATAGGGCTGACAAGGCTGCCGGGAGGGTTTCTGCTGCCGTTCCTCTCAGCTGTGACTCACCGTAGGACCGGTCACACCATCCCTGAGATGCAATTGCCCCATCTGCAGATTAGGGAAACTGAGGCACGGGGAAGTGGGGTGACTCAAGAGCTGTTGCACAGGAGATGCCGCTCGGATGCCGAGGGTTGGGCGTTCCCCATCGATCCTCCGCAGCTAACTTAAGCAGAAATGAACATCGATGTAAATATTTACTGACAAGCAGCCCAGCCTCACCCACTCCTCTCAGAAGACAGCTTTAAAGTAAACTCTCCTGGCTCTTTCATGTTTACATCTTGTTTATTTATTATACAGCAGATCACAATATTTCAACAGTTTGCATATAAAGAAAAGTAACATTTCAGAGTGCGAGAGACCTAACGTGCCCAAGCAGAGAAATGTTAATTAACAATATACACAGACAGGAACAGTGCACTTCCCAAAGCTGAGACTCATCTGTGTTCCCAGCTGGAAGAAAAAAATATATTAAAAAACAGAAACATTATATATTACTGCTTTGTTTAATTTACATCTTGCTTTGCAGAAGCTGCACATAAAAAGATTCATTTTGAGTTTTCTCTTTTTCCCCTCTAAGAAAGTTTCAAGTATAGCAGAGACCTGGGCATTCAGAGCTGGACTCACTGTCCTTTACACACTATGTTTTTAAAAAGCAGCATGGGGAAGGCAGCCGCAGCAGTACCTGGTGTCATCCTGAGGGGAAGAACTAAAGCAGACCATTGGTGAGAACCATTTGGGCTCCCAAGAGGAGAACTGTGGGCATAGGATCAGACCACCCAGGGGGTCCCAGGCTAGTTCTGAGGGCATCCAGCTCCCCATGTGATGCAACACTGCACTGCCGACCCCCACAAAACCTTTATACCCATGATTAAGTCCTAATTTAACCCCACACTCCCCGGGATTTCGGGCCAGGACATTTGTTCTGACAGCCGCAACTGAGAAGAGCGGAACACAGAGTTGTGGGACATGGATCTCCAGCAGGAGCTCGGCCAGAATCAGCCACCACCATCCCCAGAGCTGCAGGGTGCCAGGACTAGGGAGGCTTTGAAGCCAATGCCAAATACAAGCGAGGAGCTCTGGGAACAGATCCCTGCTGCACCAGCCCTCAGCAACAGGAACAGGCCAAGGGACTTCGCATAGCCCTGCTCCTCACCTTCACCCCAGCACGCAGCCGAACCCTGCTCTCACAGCAGAGGCAGGAGGAGAAAATAGTTATCAGCTACAAGCAAGAAGGGCCGGGCTGCTCCCCAATGCTATTTACAGCAGGAGCTGCTCCGGGGAGTCGCTCAGCAGAGGGGATGCCGAGCGCGCCTGCAGCCCCCGCTCACATGTGCCGCTTCATGTGCAGGGCCAGGTGGTCAGAGCGGGAGAAGGCCCGCTCGCAGAGGTGGCACTGGAAGGGCCGGTGCCCGGTGTGCTTGCGGTAGTGGCGGGTCAGCTCATCGGAGCGGGCGAACTTCCAGCCGCAGCCTTCCCAGGTGCAGTGGTAGGGCTTCTCACCTGTGGGGAGAGGGGCTGTCAGTTGGGCACAGCACTCCACATGCCTTCACCCCCCCTTCCCAGTCCTCCTGAGTCCTGCCCACCGCTCATAGGCTCCTTTATAGAGAGGAAACAGAGTGTGTGCCATTGTCAGACCCACCTTTCTTTCATCCCGATCTTCCTGCCCTTCATCTAACATATCGCTTCCTCGTTTGCCTCAGCACGAGGCCCACCTCTGCCCCACTGCAAGAACCCCTCCACGTGCTTCTGCCCCCTCGCCTGTCCCTGCCAAGGAACCTCACTCACCACGTGCCGCATCGCAGCTCTGCTACAAGGCTACATCAGAACACTTCCACCATGGGGACCCCACTCCCTGCGTCCTCAGCCCAGCTGTGCGTACTTATTTGCCACACCTCATATCTCAGGGTCTTGAGCACACCCGGCCCCCACATAGGGCCATCCCTGCCTCTCAGAGCTCACCCCAACCCGGCCCCACACCGTGAATCCTCCTCATACTCCACGGCTGGGGCTATTACCGTGAACAGACGGCAGAGCATCCCCTCCACGCGCCCCTATCCGACCCCACCGCGGGGACGGCGTGAGTAACCCCGTGCGTCCCGCCTCCTCGGGGCTTCCTTACCCGTGTGCGTCCGCATGTGCGCCTTGAGGTGGGAGCTCTTGGTGTACGTCTTGCCGCAGCCCGGGTATTCACAGTTGTGCGTCGCCGTCCGCTTGCGCGCCCACGAGCGGCGGCCGCGTTTGGGCTTGCAGTCCTCGGGAGGGCCCCCGGTCGGGAAATACTCCAGCACCGGGGAGTTGGGCGGCGTGACCAGCAGCCCGGGCAGCCCCGCCGGACCCGGACCCGGCCCCTTTAGCGGCTCCCTGAAAACACTGAAGTGTCCATGAAACTGAGGGGGCGGCTGGGGGGCGAAGTGAGGCGCGTAGCGATGCGGGGCCACGGCGTAGTGGGGCGGCAGGTCGGCCAGCAGGTGCGGGTCGGCACCGGGCAGCGGTTCCTCGGGAGGGCCCAAGCGGCCGTGGGCGAAACCAGGGTACGGCAGCGGTGGCCCCGACACCGGGCCCGGCGCCATGCGGGGAGGCTTGTGTTCACCACCTCCCGGTCCCAGGTACTCGCCGCCAGGCACCCCCAGCATGCAGGCGCGCTCCTCCGGCTGCTCCTTCTTGATGCGATGCCCGAAAGGCTGCGACGGGTCCAGGGGCAGCGGGCGGGACAGGGCCGGGTGCAGGGCCGAGTGGTGGTGGTGCGGGTGGTGGGGGCCACCGGGCACCCGCAGCTCCGTGTACTCCCGCCGCTGCAGGTCGCAGTGGGCGGGCAGGTCCGGGGTGAGAAGCTCGGCCACGTAGCTGTGGCTCTGGCCGTCGGGGTACGGCGCCGGGAACTTGCCCGGCGTGGGGTAGGAGCCGTCGCTGTCGTACGTGGTGCCGCAGCTCTCGGGGGTCTCAGGCAAAGGGTAATTGGGGCCGGGCGGTCCCTGCCCGCCGCTGCTGGTGTGCGCCAGGATGAAGTCCAAATCCACGAATTTACCCAAGTCGTCCTCCTCTCGCTTCACGGCGGGGCCATCCTGCTGCAGCATCCTCTGCGGGAACATCGGCGTCAGGAACGGGTCAGCGGGGCACAGCTCCCCCCACTCGTACCCCTTTCCCGGGGCGGCGGCTCTCCCAACCCACCCGACGGCTCCGAACCGCTACGGCACAGCGCCAGCAGCGCCCTCCGACGGCGAAGGGACCGAGCACCGGACCCGGCACCCCCGACCCCAACATCCCCTCCCTCGGCACTCCGTCCCCAGCGCACGCTGCTTACGTGCATGTCGGCGGACCGCTCCTCCAGCGGCAGCAGGTTGGTGAAGGTGGAGATGGAGGGCAGCGCGCTCTCGTCCACGGCCGCCGCCATGGCGGGCCGGGACCGGGCACGGGGCTGGGGGGAGCGCGGCGCGCGGGGCCCGGCTCCGCTCCGCTCCCCGCGGCGGCGGCAGCGCTGCTCTGCGCCGCCCCGCGCCCCTAAGCTGTTAACAGCATGGCTGCGTTCCTATTGGTCCGATTTACATTGATGTTGGCCGCCGCCGCTTTCTATTGGGAACTGAAGTTGTTAAGCCCCGCCCCCCTGCTCTCAGGCCACGCCCGCCTCCTTGGGGCTGCCTTCGACGGGTCCAGACGGAGGGCGGCCGATGAGCCCCGACCCGGAGTGCGGGGTCCCGGCGTGGGTCGCGGAGCCGGGTCCTCAGTTCTGCAGCACCGTCAGTGTCACCGCACAGCTGGGTCTGTCCGTGCCCTATCCCACAGAGCGAGTGGAGAGGGTGCCAGCGTGGATCACAGAGCCCAGCGTAGAGGGGCACGTTGAGCCTGACCTACACTGGTGTCCACGCACACGAGTGGGAGCGAGCAGGGCCAGCACGGAGGTGTGCTGCAAACCGATGCACCCACACCGCTCACCTCTTGTAACGGTGAATGTGAGGCTGCGTCCCCTGTGCGGTGCAATCAGCAGCCCAGAGTGCAGAGCTGCCATCAGGCCGAGCGCAGGGTATGTGTGCGAGCAGAGATAAGCACACCAGGGGCTGGCAGCCTGCTTGCCTCTCCTCATCGCACCCCACAGCCCCACAAGATGTTTGCCGGCCCTCCTGCGGGCCAGCACCACGGCAAGGCCTCCAGCCGCCCCACCGCAGAGGGTTTAAGTCTGCCGTGCTACTCTGCTCGCCCCACGGAGCCCCAGCACAGTGCCATCCCCACAAGAGCTCCCTGCAGCAGCAAGTAGGTTGTGACATCCCCATGTGCAGCGTGACCCCTCTCTGTGCCACCAAATGGGGATGTGGCACAGAGGTGCGGGGCTCTGGGTGGTCACCCAGGGGCTCTGGGCCTTGGTGTGTATCCCACTGCAAGAGCACTCCACTTGGCTTCCCTCCAGGCAGTACCAGGAATGGCCCGGTTTCTGTTGCGCTTGTCAAGGAGCCATAGTCCTTATCTCTCCCAGCTTGTCTCCCTGCTTTCTGGGGCTTTCCATCTCAAGATACCTTTCTAAGAACTCGGGCTGCTGCCGTCCTGCTCAGAAGCGAGGAGTCAATTTGAAAAAAAACACACATAAACACCCGAGGTGCGCACACACACACGCACCGCCGCTGCTGGATCCAAAGCCACCCTACCAGTTGCTTTCATCACCGTGCTTTAATTATAAGGGTGGAGCATTGCAATAAATTATTTCGGTAATCCCGTGGAACAACAACGATTCAGATCTTCCCCTTTTACCAAGAATCCCTGCCCTCATTTCCAGAGCACGCGCTGGGACTCTGCCTGGCACTGCATGCCTGCCACCAATGGCTGTGGTAGTGTCACCCGACGGGTTGAAGTGTATGGGTGCCACATCCTTCCCCTGAAAAAGTCACAGTCTGAGTGGGGAAAGGCTCAAGGTGTGTGGGCACCCTGCTGGCCTGGCCCCCACAGTGTCTTGTTGAAGTCACCAGCTAATCCCATTATTTGTTTCTCATCCAAATAATAATTAATAGCGAGGCAGTTCCTGCCCAAAACTTTTATAGATAAGTGAGAGCAGATGCCACAGGAGATAAGTTCTCATCCCACTTGGCTTTCCCCTTTTCCAGACACTTTTCACAGCTTATTCCAGGAGAGGCATCACCAGTAGATAGGAGTCCCTTTTACAGACAATGTTTCTTG